TGTTTGTTTGGCGAGTTTGCAAAGGTTTTTGAGTAGCTCATTTGCATAGCGCAGCGCGTGCACTTTCAAGTCCGAGTCGGTGATTGTCAACTGACAAATCTTGACAAAGATTTCTTTCGTTGTCTTTTGTGATGAGATGCTGCAACAATTTTCACCAACGCCAAAAGGCTACTAACATCATGTGTGTTTCTTTAACATAGTGAAATTTTACAGGGCGAAAATAAAATAGACAAGGAGTTTTGATAACTCAACCAACAAAATCGAAATCGTTGTTCGAGTTGATTTAAGGAAGCGTCATCATAACTTTGCCGATTATTTCTGCTGTATTCACATATTTTCAGCTAAGCTTTTAATATGTTCTCAAACATTTATCAACCGGCTTAAACATATTTANTTTCACCAACGCCAAAAGGCTACTAACATCATGTGTGTTTCTTTAACATAGTGAAATTTTACACTGCGAAAATAAAATAGACAAGGAGTTTTGATAAACTCAACCAACAATCGTTATTCGAGTTGATTAAAGAGAGCGTCATCATAACTTTGCTGATTATTTCTGCTGTATTCACATATTTTCAGCTAAGCTTTTAATATGTTCTCAAACATTTATCAGCCTTAAACATATTTAAAAACTAGAGATATTATACGAGTTCGACATACGAATTCACACGAAAGTGCGGAAGTCCAATTTGTCATGTTTTACTGACTGTACAAAACACGCATCGGCGGGCGCTCTTATTCATCGACAACAGACAATTTATTGGATTTTAACACAAACAAAACTGAGCAGCATGCATGTACAGACATAAACGTTATTGTCACTTATTGGGCCTTGATAAAACATCAAGCGTTGCTTACAATTCAAACTTGCAATTATCTTTTTTTTACTTCTCGGTCGAGATAGACTCTGGCGAAATCGTTCCAAGCGTGTTGCAAGCGAAGGGAAACTTTGAAGTTCTGAAACGGTGCTACATCCAAATATATCCGACTGGCTTTTTTGCTGTGTCATGGAAAAGCTGTTAATCTTCAACATATGCGAAACTTAGAGCTCGGAGTAATGTTGAGCTCTTGTAAAAGAGGCAGCGGAACACAACTTGGTCAGTGATATAAAGCGGGACATAACTAAATTCGACACTGTCTTACTTCATTCCAAAGTTAATTATGTTCACTCGAACTGGAGCAGCTTACGAAGAAAATACTGAAGTAAAATTCCAACAGACATGGACGTATTGAGTTGTGGGCCAAAAGCATCAAACATTTCGGGAATTTCGGACGCCATTTCCCCGCGCTACATCCGCAAAAATCCTCGCAGCATGCGCGCGCGTGTGCCGCAGGCGATGGCGCAATTTGTTCCAAAAATAGAAAAATTGTCCCATATCATAGGGAAAACCCCAATACTAGAAATGGCGCGCGCTTACGGTCTCCGTCCCCGATTATGGCTCCTGGTAGAACTTACCACTCCTTGCGTAAATGGAAGAAGTGTCAGTAAAAGAGCCAGGCCAAGGAGTGTAGCATTTACGAAAACCTAAACAGAAGGAAAAAACAAGCTATTGAAAGGACTGTTTGAAAGACAAGAAAATACGGGTTCAAGAATATAGGAAAACTGAGAAATACTACCTTTATGACAAAATTTTGCCTTGTAAAATTTGTACCAACACCCAGGTATTCAACTAATGTGCCTTATTTGTCACCAGCTGGATGTTAAGTGTGTAGATGTGAGCTTCAACTTCGTAATTTATATGCTTTGTGCATAGCTAGCTACGTGACCCGATTATAACAATCGTGTTGGCTGCAATCTATTCCGTAATTCCGTCTTTTTTGAAATGCCAGGTATAGCCACGTGACTGATTTCAGCAGTCGCTCTGGTTACCATCATCTCCTTATTTTTGTCTTGATAGTTCTTCCCTTTTGCTGAAATTAAGGTTACCCCAAACCTTCGCGGGGCTACTTTTTCCAAATTTTCTTCTTTCCAACCAAATTAAAGTTCATTATTCAAGGAAACATTTTCCAAAAAATGAAAATAAAATATTAAAACGCGCGCGAGTTATTTCGAAAAAGAGGTTTCTTTAATAAAAGTTAATAAACCGTCAAGGTGTCATAATCCCATGGACTCCTAGGCGACCTTTTCGCGGCAAACGGCTCAATACAGAGATCCTATATCAAATACTTTCAATTTGAAGATTTCGTGTCGGTCAAGGGTGCCTTTTTGTAATCACGCTTCGGCAATTGCTCCTCAGTTTCTTTTTGTTTTGCTGCACATCACTTTTCTCCTTTTTGCCCTTTAATTATTGTTGACAACCGGCATAAAACGTGTGCGCCTAAAACGTGACTGTAACACTATCGCTTTACCGCGAAGCTCAACTTTCCTTATTGTGAACGCTAGGGGATCTGTTATTTCATTGGCTGGTGGCATTTTGAGTTGACATATCCCTCTGAGAAGGCGTGACATGTTTATAAATCTTTAGAAGGCGAANGATTATGCTAGCAGTGCTAAACTGAAATAAAAGCTTTAAATTATGCTCGTTTTTCTAAATTATGCTAAAAATTATGCTAGCACAATCTACCAAAGCCTAGTTCAATGTACAGGTTAAGGTTACTCCAAACCTTCGCGGGGCTACTTTTTCCAAATTTTCTTTTTTCCAACCAAATTAAAGTCTATTATTGAAGGTAACATTTTCCAAACAATAAAAATAAAATATAAAAACGCGTGCGAGTTATTGGGAAAAAGAGGTTTATTAATAAAAGTTAATAACCATCAAGGTGTCATAATCCCCGAAAGGCATGGACTTCTCAGCGACCTTTTCGCGGCCAACGGCTTAATCCAGAGATCCTATATCAAATACTTTCAATTTGAGATTTCATGTCCGTCAAGAGTGCATTTTTGTAATCACGCTTCGACAATTGCTCCTCAGTTTCTTTGTGTTTTGTTGCATATCGCTTTTTCTCCGTTTTGCCCTTTATTGTTGACCACCGGCCTAGAACGTATGCGCCTAAAAGTGACTGTAACACTATCGCTTTACCGCGAAGTTCAACTTTCCTTACTGTGAACGCTAGCGGTTCTGTTATTTCATTGGCTGACGGCATTTTGAGTTGACATATCCCTCTGAGAGGGCGTGACATGTTTATAAATCTTTAGATGGCGAAAACTTGCACTCGTTTTTCGAGAGAATCCCTCCTCTTTAAATGAATTAATAGGGTATGTAGAATCGACGGTTTTCCTTGAAATTTGGCCAGAAAATCACTGATAGATACGGAACAAAAACGTGTCAGCGAATTCTTTTATTTCA